AGAGGAGCTGGCAGTTGTTGGTATCATGGAATTATTGAAGTCATGTGAGTGGATGGAAAGACCACAGAGCGAGAAGACAGGAGCACGAGCCCTGGACCAGTTTCTAAGCCATCCCGAATCATCGGAAGTCGAGTAGACGAGGAAGTCAAGGGCACTGAGAGGGCGTGACTGAAGAAGGAAGAAAGAATGTCCATTTGCTGTCCAGGTGGCCCACAGAGGGGACACTGTGTAAGGGAGGAAGTGGTCAGTTGGGTCAAATAGCCAAGGACGTGGATATGGGCGGGTCTTTGATGACCAATGTGGTCCAGTGGCCTGGTGGATGTGGGGGAGGAAGCTGACTGGGTCGAATGGTGGGTGGGGAGTTAAGTCCCCTTTGCTTAAGTTTGGTTTTGGAGGAGAGCAAAGAAATAGGGTATTAACTTGTCAGAAAAGAGTGTTCAAGGGAGTGTTTCAAATTAAAGGAACAGGTGGTTCTAGAACCTGTAGGCTGATGCTTTGGCCCCAGGATTTTTTTTTTTATGCTGCAATTTTAAGTCGAGTTACTCGAGTGTTTGAGGGGCCGCAGGTGGGGAGGCAGAATGAGGCAGAAACGGGAGGGGGTGGCAGAGGGTGAGAAAGTCCCTGGACCCGGACATCGAGGTTGAGAGTGAGTGGTTTCTAAGGAAGGGGAGCAATCATGAGGTGCGGGTGGCACCTTCAGGCGAGTGTCACTTCATCTCTTGTGTGTCCCTGATGAGGACACTCCTTGCTGATACTCCTCTAGGTGGCACAGGATGCCATTCCGAGAAGCCGGCCAAAAAATATTTTGCAGTTGCCCCAAATCCTCTCAACAACACATTACAGCAAATAGATATGTAGCGAGGCACTTGCCTTATTTAAACAGGCGGAATAAGATACAGTAAGAGCTTATTAGAATACAATCATTAAGACACAACTCGCATGAATTCTAAGAGCAACTTAAGCCATGAAAAGTAAAGTTGCACAACGCTAAGCCAGATCGGTGTGACGAAATCTGGTTAGAATGCTGAGTTTTATGATTACCGTCTCAACTGTGCTGTTTTTCTGGTTTCTGCGTGCTTTCGTGCATAGCATCAAGAACAGAGTTGGCTTGGGATGTGGAGGAAACACAGGAACGACAGTGGTATCAGTTAGAAAACGAGCACAGACAGCCATGTGTGTAAACATGCATCCTGAGGTAAGCACTGCGAATCCTCTATTCGCTGTGGATCTGTGCTCATAAAAAACGTCGAGCGAACGTAGAATAATGATCCTTGCACACAGTGTATCCTGTTGTGTTCTATATCAGGAGATCGATTTTATAATCACGTGAGGAAACAGGAATAGAGGCCAAAAACGAATGCTTTATGTCAGGGATTATTTTCCGTAAGTCATTGAGGGGGGACCAGTTTGTCAGTGTTTCAAGATCCGATCGCGGTGGCCGAATCAGCATCAATATCCAAATTGGGAAAGGGGAACGAAGACATGACAAAAGCTAAAAACCGCCATCATATGCTGGAAGGAGTCTCTATTTCCATTGTGACTTTTTCAGTTAGTGAGAGAGTAACTGTATGATTTTATACCCATGGCTATCCCTCTGTACCCATGATCCGATTACAGGTTGATTCAAAGTTAAATTTGGATTGCAAAACATTGATCACCTACAATCAAAAGTTAGTTTGAGACATTTCACATATATTCTTCTGAAAGAAAACTGAACGTGTTATACAAATATCCGAACACATTAGAGAGGAAATGATCGATTGCGTTATCAAAGAACGCTTCACTTTTGCGAGCGTCGAGACCGTACCCCTCAGTGACAGGTGCTGGGGAGTTTATATTCTGTTTTCTCATTCAATCCTCACGCCCACCCGGTGCAGCCGTTGCCATTAAAAGTCACACGCGACCCCACAGTGAGCTGATTTCAGGCAAACGTCACTGTCCCGTTGTCATTTCCAACGCCGAGGAAAATTCTCAGTGACGTGTAGAGCGTTAAGGGGCAAAGGCCTTCGTGCATAAATACCGACCAAGGGGTTAATGAGTGTGGCATGAATATGAAATGTTTAATTATGTTTAATTAAGTGGGGTTCGTACCACTTATTTTTCCTGTTTTAACCTCATGTCTTCACTCTGAGAGGTCTCTGTCATTTGCTTCCAACTATTCTTAGATAGTGTCTTTGTTAAATCCTGTTCTTCAGGGGAAAATCGTGATACTGCTTTTTTAATCACGCAGGTACATTAATACCACTGCAAGAGCCTGGAAGGTTGAATTGAAAACTTCTTCTCTAATCTAGATATGACGAGGGCTAAGGCATGTGTGCATATGTATCTATTTTATCATTTTCTTCACCGTCTGCCTTTATCGGGTTGCATTTATTGTTAAGGACAGGAATACTTTTATCCATACGTTTGGACCGCGGTCCTGTGTCAAGTGGTCCATTGCACACAGTAGGAGCTTATCGATCCTGTTGAATCATTTTACGATCTCTCTTTCCATCTGTAGGAACAATTTAATTTGAACCCTTGATGAAAAATTAACGTAGATTCTCTCCTTTAAAAATCTCCAAGGGAAAGAACGCTATAGCCTTTTATTCTTAATAGCAAGTGTAAGTGTTTCCATTTATAATTTAAAATCCACTGAGCCTCTTCTTTTCTTTAGCAAAAGTCGGCGTTAAAAAACATTTTCCTGCTAAGTCACGGGCTGCTGCCGCCTCCCGTCTTGCTGCAAATTCCAGTCCTCTGTGAGCTAGGAGATTCTGTGGATCGAGCTCTCTTATCTCTCCATTATTCCTCCAGAGGCCCCACTGAGGCGATAGTAAAGGAATAAAAAATACAGAAACCAACAACAAGGAAGAATTGAAGAGGGACCAGCGCAGGAAGGAAATTGCAAAATGTGTCCGCTAGCCTGCCCGCCCAGCAAGGCTCGGACACTGCCCGAGCTCGTGGGGGCGGCGGGGGGCTGCGGCAGAGGGGGTCCCGCAGGCTTGGGATTTTGAGTGCCAGACGGGTGGGAGTCCCAGTCCCGTGTGGGGCTGAGCTGCTCAGGGTTTAACAAGATGCCTGTAATCAGAACGTTTCCCGGGCTGTGTCTCCCCCGCCCCGTGGTCCAGCCCCATGTTTATATATGGTTTATATATGGTTATATTTTATGGACATAGGTGTCTGTGGTCCTTATGGCATCTTATAAGCAAAATGTTGTTAGCACCATCATATTGATGAGGAAAGAGTAGGAGAGAAACCGAATAAATTACTCAGAGTCACAGAACCACTGGTGGCAGAACCCACCACGGAGCCAGAGCCACCCTGAGCCATGATGTCACTTACCCCACCCCACCCCACCCCACCCCACCCGACCGTTATGGCCTGCTGAGCTTTTGAAACTCTGGAACCGTTTGCATGCCACCTGAGACTTGAACCTTTCACAAAGGCTAAGTAAGCCCTGGGTGCAGCCAGGCAGTGCCCAGGCTCACTGGCTCGTCACGTGGCCTGAGGTCGGAGTCACGCGGCCTGAGGTCGGAGTCACTGTGTGGGCAGAGGGGCGTCTGGGACACCAGAGGCAGCTGCTCACTTCCTGCAGGTTTTATGAACCCTGTAGTGCCCTGGGAAAGCTCAAGGCCTTCCCGGATGTGGGGGTCCACAGTGGGGACGCACTCAGGTCTGGGGTTCTAAGCACTCGTATTCAGTTGTTGGCCCCCAGGTCTGATATTTCTTTTCTTTTTTTTTAATTAATTAATTTTTTTATGGTGACATTGGTTAATGAAATCCAATAAGTCTCAGCTGTACACTTGAGCAGTAAGGCATATATATATTTACACTGTGTGTTCACTTCCCATAGTTAGATTTCTTTTTGTCACCAAATATTTGACCTCCTTTACCCCGTCTACCTCCCCCCAACACTCCCCATCTCCTTCTTGACATTCTATCTGATTTGTTGCTTTTAGGTTTATATCCCACATATGAGATACCACGTGATTTCAACTTTTTCCGTCTGGGCTATTTCGCTTAGCATGATTATCTCGAGGTCCATCCATGTCGCAAATGGCAGCATTTCATCTCTTCTTGTGGCTGAGTCATAGTCCACTGTATATATGCACCACGGCTTCTTTATCCAGTCATCTGCCTTAGGACACTTGGGTCGCTTTCATGTCCTGGCCCCCGTGAATAATGCTGCCATGCACATTAGCGTGCACATATCTTTTCGGATATGGCTTTTCAAGTCTTTGGGGTAAATACCCAGTACCGATACTTCTTTTTCCAAAAGATGTCTTCGACGCATTCCTTCCTCATTCCCAGAGCTGTCACCACGGTTTCGGGCCCCGTCACTGTGGTACTGAGTTACCCGTAGTAGCGTCTACCTTTTTTCCTGCCATTGGCCTCTCGTTTCCGTTCAACTGTTCTTCTGTTGCCAGATTCGTGACACGCAGAGGTGTCCTGTTTACTGAACACCTCGGCTGACTCTCGGGGCTGCCCCTCGGGGTGCTGTGCGCCCCCGGCGTCGTTTCCCAGGGTTCTGTGCTCAGGCTGGCGACCCCGGTGCTCGTCCACGTCCCTCCTCACATCACCATCCTCACTAGCAGGCGCCATCCCTGTCGGTCTGAAACACACTCCTCACCCCCTTCTCTATCCGGGTAAACCTGTCACGTAACTCAGAGCCTGGTTGACCTTCCCACCGGGGAGACTTCTGGCCTTCGCCGATCTCTTTCTTGTCACCTCCTACATGGCGTATCTTCGCTGTCACGGAAGTTTCTGAACAGGCTGTAAGACTTAGGAACGTTTTGCTTCCTTGAATTTCCTTGATGCCCAGCTACATCTAGGCACCTGTGGGCGTGACGTCGCCTCGTCGACGGGCGTGTCGTCGCAGACTTAGTCTTTACTTGAGCGCGGCGCTTCGAATCGAGAGAAGTGTTGAAATAACACGTGTCTTCAGGAAAGCGCGGTGGTTTGAAGTGTATTTGCTGCTCCGCGGCTTTGCTAACTATGCTTTCTCTCCTTTGTCTTACCAGCGATCAAAGAGAAGTACACAGACTGGACGGAGTTTCTCATCCGTGACTTGACCGGGTCCCGGACGGCGCCCGCCAACCTGCTGGAAGGTGTACGTATTGTCGTTACACAGTTACCTGAACTCAAAACTAACGGCTCCTTTGCATATCTCCTTCTGCAGGTACATGTGTACACACAGGTGTCTGCCTCTAAAGAGCCTAATTTCCTGTTTTTTTCCTGAATCGCTTAGGTTACTGATTCTAATGGCATCGAAAGATCTTCACGTGTGGTCTAATCAATACACAAGAAACTCGTCCCTATAGGAACACATTTTTAGATAATGTGTTAGAACATCTCCCCACGATCCTATCCTATATTAGTGAACATAAGTAAATAAAATCGTACAAAATAACTGTTTTGCGTAGTTGACATCCTAGCGTACGTAAGATCTAGTATAGCCTCAGAGTATGTTGATAAATGGTTTCATTAACTGTTCCATTCTGGACACGTGACCCCATGTGTTAAGTAATAATCGAATTAACCTCTCATGAAAATAAGAGGATAAATGGCTAACCATATTTAAATATGATTAAGGTAATTTTAAGGTACTGAAAAAAGTTTACTCTGAAAGCTTGCTGGTTCATTTGAAAATAATTTTAGGATGAAACATTGTAATTTTACTATACATAATAGAACAGGAAGCGGAGTGTACTCTGTCATAAATATTGAGTTCCACATCTGAAGAATTTCCCTGAAAAAAGTGGTAAACACAATGAATAACAAAGCATATGGTGTAAATTTTGACAGTATCATTATTCTCTTAATCTTAACCATAAATTTCGCTTGTCTTAAAAAAGACTGATACTTTTTGAACACCACTGTCTAATATATTGGGTTATCGGGTTTGGTTTTGTGAAGATTTTGCCTGGTGTATTTGTTTATCTTCACGGCTACTAATTTAATCGTTTGGTTAACAAGTCAAAATGATGGTTGTTCACTCTTTCAAAAGGACGAATTATCTTACTCTGTTAGGTTTTTTTTTTAACGTATTTGCCTCCAAGGCTGGCCGAACAAACACCCTTTTCATATGCCAACTTATACTAAGAGGGTTGCTTAGATGAGGCAGTAATTATATACATTCTCTAAACCAGCTCTCGGGTGAGATGTAGGCATCACTTTATGTGATAGTCTAACGTGACAGGTATCATTAACGTGTGTCCAACGTGCCATCTGCACATGGTCACGCTTTACGCACGCAATCGAAGCGTGAGAAGGTCTCGCTTATTCCCGCAGCGGCCATCGAGAGATGCGTGCCTTGGGTCCCGGCGTCACGCTGTCGGCCCGTGATCGATCTGTCTGTCTATTGGAAAAGTGGACATTTTGCTACCACTTTTTTTCCTAGCTCGAGGCAAATTTGGGTGTGACCCCTCTTAAAAGCAGACTCATTTCTAACGAACACGGTTTTATCTGGGAAGGGTGATTTGTTTGGTGAGAACCGAGCACATACTGTCATTTTCTATGACTTGCGATGTTTTGGTTGTCGTGGGTGGGTGCATGGAAGTGTGTGGGAGGTGAGGGGCGGGGAGGGGGTGAGGGCTGCGGAAGGGATGGGGTCGGGGGTGGAGGGGAAACACCAGACTGTTTGCCAATAGCTTGGATGATGGTGTGAAAAAATATTATCTTCTGCTGTCATCTGTTTCCATGAGAACCTTAAAATAAAGTTTAAAATAAGGAGTTTTGCTTCTGTTTAAACAGCCTCTGCGAGGGAAAGGCCCCATAGACCTCATTACAGTTGATTCCTTACTAGAACTTCAGGATTCTCAGAGTCCTTTTCAGTACTGGATAGTTAGTGTGATTGGAAATGTTGGAGGAAGATTACGCCTTCGCTATGTGGGATTGGAGGACACTGAATCCTATGACCAGTGGTTGTTTTACTTGGATTACAGACTTCGACCAGTTGGTTGGTGTCAAGAGAATAAATACAGAATGGACCCACCTTCAGGTAAGGGCTGAAGCTTTTGGCTACTGTGAATCGTTTTAGAAAAAAGATGTACTATTTTTCTGGATGTGTCTCTGGAAAATGTATGAGCTCTGTCGTACCTTGTACATCCGAGTATGTGAATATTGAGAGTTTCAACTTTAGAGCACTTTCTACAGAGACTGAAACCCAAGACCTCGATTAATAGCGTTCTAAGAGGAGAAAGTTGGGGGCGGGGGGATTGTAGAAGCCGATCTAGTTCGGGATCACTGGTTCAGAAATGAAAGGCACAATCGATTGGAATGTGGTAATATCCTCCCTTTTTCTTTAGGGCTTTCGATGGTCTTGCGAGGAGGTTTCAGAGTCTCTGTCCGTCCATCCATTCATACATGCATATATATTCATCTATCCATCCAACCATCCATCCTGCACCCATCCATATCCATCCGAATATCCAAACCAAATGTTTATTATTATATAATCTCTTCGGATCTGGAAATAGCAAAGAGAGAAAAATCATCATGCTTTTTTTCCTGGCACAGCAAAGATTTTAATTAGCTTCAAATGCACTCTCAAGTGACTTTCCCCAAACTTAATTGGAGGGAACATGGTGTTATGGTTTCCGACATACGTAACTGGGCACTAACCGCCGTGTTTACAGAATAACCATTCTTGAATGTTTACTATGTGCGAGGTGATTTTACATCTGCTATGTTATTTATTTTGATTCTTAAAATGTGACGGATGTTTGGTGTGAATGTTTCCTTTTACGGCAGAGGAAATTGAGACTGGGGTCAAGCTACTTGTCCGAGGCCACCCAGCTTTTAGGGGGATGCGAGCAGTTAAATCTACTCATCCAGGTCCCTCATCCGTTCCGCCCCATTGTCCCCTGCCGGCCCCCTGCTGGCCTCACCGACCTTTCGGTGGGTAGCCGCAGAACAAAAGCATTGGGTTCTTCTGGAATTAAAGATGCCGAGGAAGAGATATCCATTTCTTCTAGAAGTTGCTGATCTTCGTTTTGGCCAATTTCACGGGTATATTAGAAGCAAACACTCGGCTCTTTGCTTTATTAAAATTTCCGGAGATTTTTCCTCATCTAAGCTACCACTGTTAGTCTTGAGTAAATGAAGCTGTGGGGTTATATTTCCTTTTTCTGTCACTCAAGGGCTTTAATTGAAAAAACTTCCTGGTTCTGTATCTCGTGTGTTTGCATTTGTGTTGAATTTGAATTTGACAGGCGTATAGACATGTAACATGGTATTTTATGAGTATTATTGTTGTCAGCATTTTGAGAAGCAGCCAGGAAATCCATTTATACCTTGAGTAATTTTGGATTTTGATGACAAACAAAGGGCTTGTCAGCAGTGTGAGGAGAGCTCTAAGCTCACATTTGCCTTGGGATTCTTAACGCTGCAGGAGAAATTTGCCTTGTGTGGAAAGTCGGGTGTGTAAATCTTAGCCTAGTATCTAATTGCTTTTGGGTTTCAGGAGAAACATATTCATCAGTGTAGAAATTGACAGCAAGGCAAAGGATTACTAGTAGCTTCTTAAGTTCTCTGAATCATTCCCTCTCGTGAAATCACAGCACTCGTGCTCAAAGCAAGAACGCGAAGGGTCGAGATAGGAACTTAGGCAGATTTGTGGACGAGAGCTCTCCCTTCTCCTGGACGTAACTTGAAGTCTTCATAAGAATAAATCGTGTTTACTTGTCTTAGTAATTTTCTGGACAGGAGCTGTCCATTTGACCGAAGAGCTGGCGGGGATCCTTTAGGACTCGGTGAAAGACGTTCCTCATGAACTTATTTCCTCAACGTCTTACTCTGTCAGCACGAAGGGTTAGGTGTGGGAAGAAGGAATTGGAAGCCTAAAGGACACTCAGATGCGCCTGTCAGTTGTTCAGATG